TATCATGTCTCTCGATGCAGGAAATAGGGACCTCCAAATTCTCACCGAGCTGCAGATGGAATAGAGCAATCTCATACAGAAAGGAATTTGTTCTATGATCGAACTTGGAGCAAGGTAACAGCAAAGATACAGTAACAACAGCCAGGGCACAGTCTCCGCTCTGCAACATGACAGGGACAGATTCTGGCATGATATCTGTGATGTGGTTTACAGGTGTAGAACAGATAAAATTCTACCTTGCCTTCAAGACCTAACTGAAATGACCCCTATTCCACGAAGCCTTCCCTGATCTCCCACGTCTCCTAACCCTACTCTCCAGCTAGAAACCAGAGAGGATTGCAGTTGGAAAGGTCCTCAGAGGGCAACTAATCCTACCAGAGGTGACTTCATTTCATTAAATGACATCTTAGGATGATTCATAAAATCTGAAGAGTTGGAATGCACCTCAGAGACTGCACAGTCCAATCCATACCTAAGCAAGTATCCGCAACAGGCGGTCATCTACCTTCCCTTTGAAGACCTCTAGTGATGGGGAGCCCACTACTTCTCCCACTGTACTTTTGGATAATTCTCATTGTTAGGAGGTCGTTTTTTATATAATTGTATATATTGTTATATAGAGAGAATATTTTAGAATATATACATATATATTGAACCCAAATTGGCTTCCCTGTAACTATTAGTCAGTGCTCCTAGCTCTGCTCACTGGAGCCATATTTAATTTCTCTCTCTCTCTCTCTCTCTCTCTCTCTCTCTCTCTCTCTTTTTACTTTTAGGCAATTGGGATTAAGTGACTTGCCCAGGGTCACACAGCTAGTAAGTGTCAAGGGTCTGAGGCTGGATTTGAACTCAGGTCCTCCTGACGCCAGGACCGGTGCTCTATCCACTGTGCCACCTAGTTGCTCCTATATTTAGTTTTAATTTTTTAAATTCAGCCCAATCTTTTAGCCTGCCAACATCTTTTTGGATCCAGGCTCTCATATCCAAATGTAACACCAACTTGTTAAGTACAAGATGAAGAGGTATGGCTAGACATTAAGTCATGTGGAAATGGTTGGGGGATTTCAGTGGTCTAAAAGCTCCACATAAGTCAAAAGGGAAGTATGGCAGCCAAAAACCCTGACACAGTCTAGATAGCATTGAGATACCACCCAGTGTATACGAGTAGGGAGAGCAGACAGGACAATCCAGCTTGGCCCGTCATCTAGAGTCCTGTGTTCAGGCTGACAGCGACATTTTGGGAAGGACACTGGCAAGCTGCAGCATGTGTAGAGGAGGTTGACCAGTAAGGATGAGGGTCCTCAAGATCAGGTCATGTGGGGATTGAATGAAACAACTGAGGGTGTTTAGCCTAGAGAAAGGAAGATTTAGGGCGTGACATGTGAAGGGAAGAGGGAATAGACTCATTATTTGGCTCCAGAGCCAGAACTAAGAGTAATGAGTAGAAGTTGCTAAGAGACGGATACCAGCTGGATTTAAGGAAAATCTTCCTAATGATTGGAGCTATACAAAAGTGGAACGGGTTGCCTCAGGAGGCAGTGACAACTGAAGACCCACCCGTAAGGTACACTGGTGATCCCTTTTCATGCTTGCGGTGCACTGGATCTGGCCTCTAAAGTTCCTTCCCTTCTGTAAGTGGGTGATGAGCTCGTGAAGGCAGTAAGTGTGGACCTCTTAAGCACTGTGTCTGGAACTCTTTAGCACAATGTCTGGCACGACAGGAAGCACTTAATAAATGTTTGTTGACTAACATACTCATCACTGAGAAAATAAGAATTGATATGGCACATCCTGCTATCAAGGAGTTTACAATCGAGGGAATTTAGAAGAAAATATGCACTTTCCGTGTATTTTGTGTCACTGCCTACTAAACTCTTGTTTGTATTGTAGCTATGTACGTCCATGGGTGTGCTGGTAAATGTTTAATAACAAGCTCTTGGGAAGGGAGGGAATGTACACACCAGAAACTTTTAAGTTTAGGCTGTATTATTAACATTTTTTCCCATAACTTTCTTAAGTCTAAAGTCTAGATTCAACAATTAACAAAACGATGAATCAAGCCCTGATTTGTATCATTTGCCTGTTTCCAAAGTGCAGCAGATAGAGAACTGGGCTTGGAATCAGGAAGCTTCATCTTCATAAGTTCAAATCCAGCTGTGCGACCCTGGGAAAGTCACTTAACTCTGTTTGCCTCAGTTCCTCATTTGTAAAATGAGCTGGAGAAGGAAATTACAAACCACTCCAGTGTCTTTGCCAAGAAAACCCCCAAATGGAGTCACAAAGATTTGGACATGACTGAAACAACTGAACAACAAGGTGCAAATGTTCACACTGAAAATTTAACAATCAGGCTCTCAAAAGCTAGTGTGAACTGGCTCCCCATTTGGACCATGAGAAAAGAGATTCAGAGTTGGGAGTCACCCCAGGGATCATCTAGTCTAACTCCCTCTTTCTACAGATGAGGAAATGAAGACCACAACGGTTAAGTGGTTTGCCCAAAATCACACAAGTTAAAAGAGGCTGGGCCAGGATCTGAACCCAGGTCTTCTAATTCCAAATCCAGCACTCTTTTCCTGACATCACATTGATCTTTATAGGCAGGAAACTATGTGTTACTTTCTCTCTCTCTCTCTCTCTCTCTCTCTCTCTCTCTCTCTCTCTCTCTCCAACAGCATCCAACAGAGTGCTTTACAGAAGGCAAGTGCCTAATAAAAGTTTGTAGAAATTGATGCTGGTGGCAGGAGAAGGGGGCCAGGCTATGTGTGGGACAGAAGCTCAGACTACACTGGGAATGCAAATAGCCTAATTATGCAGGAACTTTGATTCCCCAGAGAATCACAGAATGTCAGAAAAGAGGTGGGGTGGGGGGAGGAAATTTAGCATATAGAATATTACAGTTGGGCTCGATCAATCAATTAATAACCATTTATTAAGAGCCTACTATGTGCCAGACACTATTCTAAGCACAAGGTATACAAAAAGAGGCCAAAGACAGTCCCTGTCCTCCAGGTACTCACAATCTAATGGGATGAACCTTAAAACGCAGGGTGTCTGAGCTAGACAGGTCTTTAGAAGATAAGCTCACAGTTATGTAGTGCTTTAAGGTTTGCAGATTGCTTAACATACATTATCTCATTTGATCATAGAATGTCAAGATGGGAGGGACCTAAGACACCATTCAGTCCAACCTCTTCCTTTTACAGATGGGAAAACTGAGGACCAGGGAGGCAGTAACTTACTTGCTCAAGGTCACCCAATGGCAGAAATTGGACTAGTTTAGTATTAGTATTACAGGACCAGATTTAGTATTCCTTTCCATTGCTCTAACTTTGGGAATCAGAGTATGTTTTCTGGCTCTTTCTGTACTTGGATCCACAAAATACTGGACAACTATTCTATTGCCAAAAAAATTGATGAAAGTAAAGCTTATGAGAATATGGAAGAAAAAAAAGATTCTCTAGATTCCCCCACCATTACATCATCATCAAAGCCGCCATTATCATTTATTTTTTAAGGCACATGCTCATGCATATTTTATACATGTAGATAAAAACTATGTCACACATACACACTGGCTAACTGACCAAAAAAAATACATCATTCTTCATATGTGCAGTTGTATTTGGTTGGATACCAAGGTTCAGCTGTTCACTGAATCACAGATAGAATCTCTCTCTTCCTCCCCGGTGTCTCCATCTCTGTCTGTGTCTGTCTGTCTCTCTCAGTCATAGAGTAAAGCACAATCATTCCAAGTCACAGGAGACAGGAGTCATCAGGGACTGGTGTCAAGGTCACAGCCATGCCCCTCCAGGATCACCCAGTCTCATTTAAGATGTTTCTGGTCCCGCTCAGTCTGCATAACTCACAGTGCTATACATTCACACAGGGCAACATTGGCTCATTCAGTGTGACCCATACAACGTCACACACATATTCAGTACCACTGGCACACAGAGTAAATATTAACACACCATCCTTCACACAGACACACCAGTCCTGCACACTGTCTTCATTCAGTTCAATTCCATTTAAAACCCCTTCCTTGAGTACTATGGGGAGATATTTCTTCAGGTATTAAACAAACACCTGTTATGCACAAAACCCTTCATGCTGGACATTTAGGGAAGATATAAACAGAATTAATAAAGGGTCTTACTTTAGGTTTTGGTCTAGACCTGTGATTTCATCAGTGTAGGGATCTTCCAATAAGGAAACTCACTATACCAATGCAGATCAGATCTGTAACTTCTTTGTGTCTTAATAGCTTTAGAAAATTTCCTGGGGCACTAATTGGTTAAGTGACTGGCCCAGGGTCACTCAGCCAATATTAAATCAGAGATGGGATTTGAAGCTAGGTCTTTCTGACTGCTTTTCTTGCTCTCTATCTACTGGGCTACACTGCCTCTAAGGTCTTTATACAGAGCTGGCTAAGTGCCTCAGTCATGTAAGAGCTCACAGCCCATCATCTGTGCTTATACTGTCTCAGTGTCCCTGTGTCTCACAGTGTCCCAATTCAAATAGGAGCCCAGTTCACTTTACCGTGCCACACATGCTACCACACGGCACAAGGCTTTCTACAATGTCACATATTGTATCTCACATAGAGTTTCCTTGTCACATCCTGTGTCTCAGGCTGTCAGTCTCGAAACACACACCCCTGGCTCAATAATAGTAACAGCTAGTTTTTCTACAGTGTCTCAAGGGTGGCAAAATGCTGTACACAGCCTCATTTGATCCTCATACATCACACACCCAGACACACCCAGTCAGTATCACACACTTGAAGTGTTATAAGTAGGCACAGGGTCAGTGAGTTACTGTCCAAAGTGTTCTGTCTCACACAAATATACAATGTCACACACACGGAGTGTCATAAGTAGCCACAGGATCGGTGGGTCAGGATCCTGCGCGCTTGCGCACACACACACACACACACACACACACACACACTCACACTCACACACTCACACACTCATCCCAGCCCACCCGGCACCTCCTACCTGCGCAGGTCCCGCAGACGGGCCTCCTCACCCCGCACGTAGCCTTCCAGCAGCCGCAGCAGCTCCCGCTCCGGACCCAGCGCCCGCTCCACGCTCTGCAGTGCCGAGAACTTGTCTTCCCCGCGGCCCCGGCCCGGGCCGACCCCCGCCTCCTTGCCCCGAACTCCAGCCCCGGCCCCAGCCCCCAGCTCCAGGGCCCGCAGCACAGGCAGCACGGGCAGCACCAGCAGGACCAGCGCCGCCGGGGGGCCCATCCCTCCAGGGGCTGCACTGTCTTCCCAGCGCACTCTTTCCTCGCTTCGTACCCCTTCACACTCCCGGCCTCCCTCCTCCGCGGCTCCCTCCTCACATCTCTCCTCCGCTGCCCCTTGCCTCTTTCTTTCCCCTCTCTTCTCCTCCCCTTTCTTTGCTCCACTCCCTCCTTCCCTCCACAGTTCCCTTCACCTTATTTCTACAGCTTTGTTCCCATCTCCTGCCTCTCCTTTCACACCTTCCCTTGTTCTTATTTTCTCTGCTTTTTCACCTCCACCACTTTATAAATTCATCCTCTCTTTCTTGCGGTCTGTTTTCTCCCCTTCTCTGCTCTCTTTCTTCCTTCCCTCCTTAGTTCCCTTCCCCCTTCCCTTCCTCTTACCATATAGCTCTGCCCCTTCCCCTCTAGCCCCGCTTCCCCCTCTGCCTGTTCCCTCCCACACTTCTTATACATTTATCTTCTTGTTTTCCCTCTCATTCTCCCCCCATACCATTCTTCCCTCAGCTTCTTCCCAGTTTTCTTCCCCCTTATCTTTCTTCAACTCTTTCTCTTTTCTTTTTTCTCTCTGCTCCACACCCTTCTTTTCTCTTGAGTTTCCATCACTTTTACTTTACCCTTCCACCTGGCTATGCCCTCTTGTCCCTTTTCCCATTATGCTTTCTCCCTCTCCCTCTGCTTCTCCTCAACTCTGAAATTGCAGAGTGTAGAAGAAGGAGCCTTGGCTGGGAGACAAGAGATCTGAATTCTGGTCCCAACTCTGCAGCCAGCTCATTGTCTAGCCCTGGACAAAACCTTTCTTCCACCCAGGCTTCATTTTCCTCCTGGGTAAAAATAAGGGGGTTGGAATAAATGATCTCTTAAGGTTCCTTCCAGGCCTGACATTGAGACCTGACATTATTTGTGCTAAGGTCCCTTCCCCATCTGACGTCCTAAATTCTCTTTATGGAGTCGTTCCAGACTTTTCTCTCTCCAGTGCCAGATGATAGGCAATGTGATGCAAGGCACTAGATTTGGAGTCAGAAAGAGACCTGGGTTCTAATCCTACTTCTAACATTTGCTAGCTGTGTGTCCATGAGGCAGTCACTCACAATCTGTAGCTTCTCTGTTCTTAACCTGTAAAATGGGGACAAGTCATACTTACAGTACCTGCCTCCTGAAGAGGGTTATAAAGAAAGTAAACTTTCTAAACCTTAAAGTTATATATAAATGCGAGCAGAAAAGAACATTAAGTTTGGAGTTTGAGGGTTTGAGTCCTGGTTTTGCCGTTTACTACCTTTGAAACTTTGGGCATGTGACTTAACTTTTCAGAGCCTCAATTTGCTCATCTTTGGCATAATCTTTAAGGTCCAAGCTCCAAGTCTGTATCTGTCTGTATGACAGCATTGGTTGTATCAAGGTCCCCTCCAGTTCTGACAGTGATCCTGCATACTTTCTGGTGGTAAGCCTCTCTCTTAGACAGGACTGGCATCCATAGGAAATAAGTCCTAGGTACAGGACAAAAAGAACTTTCTTTGCAGTGCCCTCAGCCTACCCTAGTAACATATTTAGTTTTTTTCAGTCTTCACTGGAGAGGACTGCTGTGGATCACCAGCAAACAACAGATTCATGTAACATCAGAGCTAGAAAGACCCTTAGAGACCATCTGATCCAAACCCTTCATTTTTACAGGGGTGGAAACTGAGGCAGAGGTGAAAGAACCTGCTTAAAGTCACACATAAGAGTCAGAAGCATAGCCAGGGCTAGGATCCAGGTCTTTTTGCCATGTTCTGGCTTCTTTCCTAAGTACTTCCTCAGGGGAAAGCTGCTAGTTAGAAGCCACCTTCTTTGCTAGTGTCAGGATCTTGCCTGGGTGCTTTTCTTCTTTCTTCTCCAGTGAGAACTCCAAGAACCAAGCTAAAGTAGCTCCATCTTATCCACCTTATACTCCTTCCTGTTGGAAGGTCAGAGGAATCTTAGGATTTAAAACTGGATGAAGCAACTACTCCAACTTTGTCATTTTACAGATGAGGAAAATGCCTGGAGAGAAGTAATTTGCTCTATGTTGCACAAGTGGTAGGACCTGAATGCCAACCCAGGTCTTCTGACTTCACATCCAGAACTCTTTTGACAGTACCACAATGCCATTTTTTTGGGGGGGTGAGACAATCAGGGTTAAGTGACTTGTGTAGGGTCACACAGCTAGTGTCTAGTGTTTGAGGGCAGATTTGAACTCAGGTCCTCCTGACTCCAGGGCCAGTGCTCTATCCACTGCTCCACCTAGCTGCCCTGCACATCGCCATTTCTAAATAAAAAGACCAGCACAAGGGAGAAGATAGCACTTTGTGATTAAGTCATGTCTGACTTTGTGACCCTGTTTGGGATTTTCTTAGCAAAGATAGTGGAATAGTTTGCAATTTCTTTCTTCAGCTCATTTTATGGATGAGGAAACTGAGGCAAACAGGGTTGAATGACTTTTTTTTTTTTTTAGGCAGTTGGGGTTAAGTGACTTGCCCAGGGTCACACAGCTGGTAAGTGTCAAGTGTTTGGTCTTAGGCCGGATTTGAACTCAGGTCCTCCTGACTTCAGGGCTGGTGCCCTATCCACTGTGCTACCCAGCTGCCCCTGGGTTGAGTGACTTGACCAGGGTCACAGCTAGTAAGTTTCTGAGGCCAGATTTGAACTCACGAAGAGTCTTCCTGACTCCAGGCCTAATGCTCTATCCACCACTGTGCCACCTAACCACCCAGAAGATAGCACTGCTAACACCTGTTCTGGAGAAAGAAAAAAAAAAATCTTGCAGGGAATAGATGGGGAAGAAAGCAGTTCTTGGAGAGGGTTGTCAGATTGACAAGACTCTGGTTCTAGTATTCTAACTCCAAGGGTGCCCCCTGGTGGAGTTTTAGAATTTATGGTATTTCTGACTTTTCTTTTCTCTTATTTCCTCAGTTTCCCATGGCTACACTTTTCTAGTATTATAGGAGAACTGCCCGACCATGTTTCACTGAAGACCACACCATTTGTCTTTTGCTTAACAATGAAGACTGCTACCTGGGACCTATTTCTAGATGAGCCGATTTAATTTTCTCTTTACTGAGCCTGTGCCTTGTGGTTAGTATTGTGCTAAGAATAGGGGAAAAAGCAAGACATAAAAGACTATTGTCTGCCATTAAGCACTTAGAGTTCTGCTGTGGAGACATGAAACTGGTCTCCTAAAAAGTACTAGGAGGCAGGTAGTATAGTGGAAAGAGCACTACATTTGGAGTAAGGACTAGGTCCCCATCCCAACTGACATTAGTTATTTGACCTTAGGGAAGTTACTTTGCCTGAGCCTCAATTTATTTATCTATAAAATGAGAATAATACTTTTACTACACTTCACTACCTCCCCTTTAGACTCAGCTCAGGAGTTACTTCCTTAAGCAAGAAGTCTTTCCCAGTAATCTCCCCAAATCACACACACACACACAGTGTCTGGCACATAGCAGAAACTTAATAAATATTTATTCATTGATGTAAAGATCAAATTAAATAAGACCCTCCCCCCCAATTCCATAGTACTTTATGGCTTGTGATATCAGCTGTTATCATTATTAGAATGGAAATCTGGACCTCTGGGTTTTGTCACTAACACTGTATAGTGTTGGGCAACTCCCTAATTTTACTGAAACTCAGGCCTATGGACCTGTCCATAGTCTTAGGGTATGCCTACAAACTCAGAGGACATCAAAAGATAGCATAGAATAAAGTGCTTCATTTATTCAACAAATCTTTGATGAGAAACACTGTGTATATAGCCCAGAGCTTGGCCATGGGGGAGAGAATAAGATGAATAGATATGGTCCCTGTCCTAAGTTCTTAAACTCTATCAAGAAAGATAATAATAATAATAATAATAATATTTCCAAAGAACTTTGTTAAATTTTTTTATTTTGTTTGAATTTTTGTACTTGGCAAATATAAAACTTTAGTATTCCCATACATTTAAAAAAGAAAAGAAAAAGAGGGTTATATACAAAACCATAATTTTCTATTACATATAGCTTGCATTTTTAAAAGAATATATAGCAAATTCATGTTAGTTCCAGAGTTGTTCTTCCTATATTCTGAACCTCCCTCTGGAACTTTGTAAATCTTCTACCATAACCCTGAGAGGCAGGTAGTATAAATATCCCCATTTGTACAGATGAGGAATATAGGCTTAGAGAAGACAAATGTCTCAATTTTAATTTAACTCAATAGCTATACAATGTCTACTATGTGCAAAGCCTCGTGCTAGGCAGGAAAGAGACAAAGATGAAAAACAGTCTCCTCCAAGTGCTGAGTACAAGAAAGTTCTGCACACGTTTGCTGAATAAATCTCATTCAACCTTAAAAAAAAAAAACAACCCAAAAACAAACAAACAAACAAACAAACAAACAAACAAAAAAACCAAGAGGAAAGCTGAGGCCCAGGAATGGGGACTAATTTACCCTCATTTGGGGAAGTCTCTTTAAAATGCATGAAATTACTCACTTTCATTTGTTTCCAGTGGCTATAACATCGCATAGAGTATTCATATATTTGTCAATGGATGACAGATGAAGTTGAAAAAAACCAGAGAAGTAACACTTGGAGTCTTTTACAGACCTGCTACTTGACCTTTCACAAATTGTTTTCCTTCTCTGGGTCTCTTTCTTCCACTTAAAAAAAAAGGATGGGGGTGTGTGGGGTGTGGAGAGATAGAGAGAATAGACAGACAGAAAAACAGAAAGAACAGTCTCCTAAAGATGCCTATTTCTGATCTTGAACCTGAAACATCGATAGGTGGTTTTGTCCACCAGGTGGCAGCAGGAATCTAGGAAGTCAGATCAATTACAGTAATTAAGTTTGTCTTTTACGTCCATTTTCTACTTCCCAAATTGTAAGACTTCACTCCAGCTAAAATGATCTACATACATAGTTGTTCCCACCTTCAGCATTACTTGTATGTTCCTTTCTATTCTCAGTGCAAAAATCCCCCAACCTGCTTATGCTTGACCACCATCAAATACCCTCCTCAACCCAGCCCATTCCATTATTGAGGGAAATTTTCTATTTCAATTAAACCTAAATTTGCCTTCTTATAACTTTCCCCTTCCCCTACTTAGTCCTAGGTCCCAGAAATATAA